AATTTTAAGTTAAAAATGGAGTATAATTGTGAGATAGAGGAAGTAGAATCGATATTTTACTAGCTTTTAATTATTGATGGTCTACCAATGTTTAGGCACATAATTTTATGCCATGATAATAGTTTTGTTAATAGAGCTTGAAAACAATTCATTAAATCATTTATTTATTTATTTATTTTTTAAACAACTATAATTTGGGGATATGAGGAAGAGGATATCAACACAATATTATTGTAGATCGAACTTTAGTATCATTTAAGACATTTGGTATATCAATCAACTGATTTATAAGATTTGGTGCCATTAAAACATTTATTTGACAACATAAGGCTGTAATAATTTTATTACCACCTCTTTTCACTTAGCAGAATGCATAAATAAATATGCATCTAAAAAATAAAATGATCAAATCATCATTGGGCAAATCTAGGTACAGCCCTTGAGCATAAAGCAATGTCAGTTGAGTAAAGCATATTCTTAAATCTTAACAAGCAATCAAAACTCATAATTGTGAAAAAAGACAACTTAGTATCAAAAAAGATCATAGGTTGGAATATCAACCCCTAATTTAGCCCCCCTAATTTGTTATTTTAAAACATTTCAAGCCTCAAACATAGGCTAATTAGGCTCTTATTTGTATACCATACTATTTGGTTTGGTTGGCTACGATCAAAGTTAATTGAAAGACTAATGGAAGTGGCATGTCTCCATACATGAGAATGAAAGCACAATTGAGTTAGCTTCTCAATCTTACCACCTGTAATTAAGCTATGACAGGGGTAAAAGAGAATATGCCAGTTTTTGCAAGTTTTTAATAATAAATTTTGCAGCCCGTTACCATCACAAAAGCTTCCACATGGGTTGAGAAAGTTCATTAAGACCTTAACATACTTGTAATGATTGTATATGACTTTTCCTTTTAACTTTGGCACTAACTTAAAGATCAAATTGTGCAATGGGCTTAATTGGCTAAGAAAAAGATTGAGCACTTGATTGAAAAAGTAAAATAAGCTCAGAGATAAACTTAATTAGGAGTTAATCTTAATAATTTCAATTACAAATTTCTTCTATGAACCCAAAAAAAAATCCGATTAGGTAGACCCAACACAAGTTTTGTGTTCTACAATTCTGCCTATATCATCAAGCTTTAAAATATATGCATTAATGATTTAAATAATTTAATGATAATTATTTTAATAGAAATATAAAATTTTAAATTCAAATCATATGATATATAAATAAGATGAATTAAAAAATAAAAAAAAATTACATCTCTATTATACAATCCAAGATTAAAAAAAAAATTTAAAATATAAATTGTTGAATGAAAATATAATTCATATATTAAAAAATTTATTGTTATCTAATAAATTAAATCATATGATACTATATAATTTAAGCTGCACAATATTTTTTTACTCAATGGTATCGGAGCACATGGTTATTGTCACGTGTTTTTATATTAAGGCAACACAATTTGTTAATATTATTTGAAAAAATATAGATTTATTATTTAAAATTAAAAATAATTTATATAATGACATTTTTCAATATTATAATTACTTTTATATTTTAATATAAAATATTACTTTTTTTAAAATTAAAAATTTAAAGATAATATTTATATTTATTTATAATATCTTAAAAAATAAAAAATTTATAATTGAATAATTAATTAAAGTAATTGATTAAAAAAACAAACTACATGCCAACCACATCAAATTCTCGAGCATGAACAGTTGAACACAGATCCGGACAACCCGGTACGGTCGGAGTCGGACAGAGCCCGCCAACCCGGTAATGGATAAGGGCAGATGTAGGTCCCGTTGGGTCAGTGAAATTCGGGTCTGAAGTTCTGAACTCTGTGCCACCCGCACACGCTCACGGCCATACCGTCCACACACCAAACCCAAACCCTACTCTCCCTCTGCAACAGATCCTCCTCCTGTGCTTCTTAGATTTTCATCGGACTGAAAATGGGTTCCGCCTCCGGGACCCGAATCGTCTCTACCCTTGAGGTTTGATAAGTTATCTCTATATTTACCAGCTAGGCTATACAAGGAAGATTATACATTGGGAAATGGTTTGTTTTGCCTTCCTTATATTATTATATACATATTGTTTCATAGTTTGTTGATCTTTTGTTCCCCTTATTCAGTTACCGGATTCATGGGTAGAGGTTAAATTGTGGTAATTGAGCTAAAAGGAGTCAGAAAATTGGGTGCTGAGTCTTGTTTTTTATTGTTTACCAGTGAACATGGTGGTTGTTGTGATTTCTGGGGAGAAATTATGGTCTTAGCTGCTCACTCACTTCCAAGTATGGATCTTTAGTGTTTTGGGCATCTGGGTCATGTTGTCTGTAAGTATTTTTTTTTCTTATTTATTTTTGATCCTCTGTGAGATTTAAGATTGGATATGTTGATCATTTGGGGGAAAATTGCTGATCTTTAATCCTGGCGTAAAGTTGAGATCTTTTGGGCTCCATTGGTTTGGTTAGAGATTTGGAGGAAATCTGGAGGTTTTGAAGAGGATTTCTGAGTTGTTATTATATTTTTGAGGGGTAGGCTTACATAGGCATCAATGTCATTCAAAAGTATTATCCAAGATATGAAGGGGGAGTTTGGGAGCATATCTAGAAAAGGGTTTGACATGAAGTTTGGGTATGGGATGAGATCGAGGTCACACCGGGTAGTCCAGGATATCACAGTGCCAATTGATGCTTTCAAGCAGAGTTGCTGGGCCAACATGCCACCTGAACTTTTGAGGGATGTGCTGATGAGAATAGAGGCATCAGAGACTACTTGGCCTCCCCGAAAGAATGTGGTTTCTTGTGCTGGTGTTTGTAGGAATTGGAGAGAAATTATGAAGGAAATTGTTAAAGCCCCGGAGGCTTCTGGCAAGTTAACATTCCCAATCTCATTGAAGCAGGTATTGTTAGATACTAGCCTGTACTTTCTCTTAAGTATATATAAGTTATTATTTGACTGATTTTTATTCATTTTGTTATGTGTTTAAAGTTTAATCTACAGCTATTCTTGTATTTCCTGGTGGTTTTTGTATCTTCTTCTAGCTCTTGTTTGTATGATATCTTGATATAAAAATTAGTAGTGATAGAACATCACAATTGTGGCAAGATTTAACAATTAGAAAAACTTTAAAATTAGCGCTAAATTGAAAATTTATCTTGGTGTTTAATCAAAAAGCAGGCCAAATCTTGGAACTTGTTTAAGGAGCTACTTTGTTCTTAGTCACTACCTTTTTTTTTTTTTTTTGAAATTTGGTTCCATAGGAATATTTCATGATGTTCATGAACTTAAAAAGACTTCTGGATGCTCTCTAAATTTGGGAAAACATTTTTGTAGAAAATGTTTGATTGAATAATTCTGTGTTACAAGGTTAACATTTGAAGCATCTATTCTCCTTCCAGCAATGTTTAGATTCTCTGGTTAACTATTTTGCAGCCTGGCCCAAGGGACTCTCCCATTCAGTGCTACATAAAACGGAACCGTAGCAACCAGACTTATTATCTCTACCTTGGCTTGAACCAATGTGAGTGTATAAATGTTTTTTTTTTTTTTCCTTGAAGTGCATCTCACTTGAAATGATTTGATATGTGATGTTGCCTTTTAATAGAGATTATTGCTTGGAGTTAAAGGAAACTGATGTCTAGATTCATAGACTCATTAAAAGTTACTCCATTCTTTTTGAGTTGTAAAAGAATATTTTTGCATATGAATTTAGATGATGCTTTTATATGGTTTATAAATGACAATTCAATTTTTTTTCTACACAGTTCTTTCTGAGTAGTTTCATTTGATTAGGAAAAAGATTTAACCATCCATATGCTATATAAAAGCATTACCTAAAATGTGCAAAAAGATTTTGTGAAACTAAAGAAGAATGGAAGGAGTAGTTTCCTTTACCTTTTTGTTAATTTTGGAGAATAGCTTTTTCTTTGGGTATTTCTTCTTAGATGTGAATCTTGCTCTCTTTTTCTTTATGAAATTTTTCACAGCTTCAAATGATGATGGAAAGTTCCTTCTTGCTGCAAGGAAGTGTCGACGTCCCACTTGTACAGACTATATCATCTCTTTAAATTGTGACTATGTGTCAAAAGGAAGTAGTGCCTACATTGGAAAATTGAGGTATTGTTGTCTGGATGGACTAAGTTGTTTTTGTACTCTTTTATCAGACCTAGGACGAAGGGTAACCACTCAATTTTCTCTAACAGATCAAACTTTTTGGGGACCAAGTTCACAATTTATGATGTGCATCCTCCAAGTACAGGAGCAAAAGTTACTAAAAGCCAATCCACTAGGTTGGTTAATATAAGACGAGTCTCCCCAAAAGTTCCGGCTGGCAATTACCCTGTTTCACACATCTCATATGAGTTGAATGTCCTTGGTTCTAGGTAAGATGCTAAAAGAGACTTGATAGGAAACTGAACAATAATTTCTTAAAATACTCTCTCTCTATCAATCTATCTATCCACCTGTCTGTGTGTTGGTAACTGAAACTATATTCTGGAAATTAGAGGCCCAAGGAGAATGCAATGTGTCATGGATTCTATCCCAGCCTCTGCTATTGAGCCTGGAGGAGTGGCTCCCACTCAGACTGAATTTCTGCACAGCAATCTGGACAGTTTCCCATCCATTTCATTCTTTAGATCAAAATCAACTCGAGTGGAGACTTTCGAGTCTGGTCCTTTATCTGGCCAAAAAGGAGTGCTAGTCTTGAGGAATAAGGCCCCAAGGTGGCATGAACAACTTCAATGCTGGTGTCTAAACTTCAATGGACGGGTAACCGTTGCTTCAGTAAAGAACTTTCAGCTTGTTGCCTCTCCAGAGAATGGAGTTGCTGGGCCAGAGCATGAGGACGTTATTCTCCAGTTTGGAAAGGTGGGGAAGGATGTGTTCACCATGGATTATCAGTATCCAATCTCAGCTTTCCAGGCTTTCGCCATATGCCTTAGCAGCTTTGACACTAAGATTGCTTGTGAGTAATCTAAAAGAGGTGTGTATCTAGTCATGACACTTGGACTTCTTTATAGACATTCACTAGAAGTCAGCTATCTGCCACTGGATATATATTTTCATTGTACTTTTAGCAATCTCTATTCTGTTTTTGGGTCTGAAGTAATTTAAGCTTCTAGTTTCTAACTGACAGTTTTTTGGCAGATATGCAGAAGAGTCCATGTGCAAGGTTGTTGTCATGCTGTGACTCAGAATATTCTGCAAGATGGTTTCTAGGTAGTTTAATACATCATGGTTTCTGCATGAGCCATTAGGGTTTGACTATAATTTTAGTTTTTCCCTGTACATAATGTAACTCTTTGTGTCACAAGTGAAAAACGGTGTGTGCTTTGCTAACATACTTTGGCTGTTTGACCGTCAAGGGAGAAACTTGAAGTCTGAACTGCAGAGTGGTTTATTAACTTTGTCCGTGTGAGCTGTTGTTGGAGTCTATTGTCCATTTTAGATGATTGCTTCTGCATCTTTTTTTGCAAAAAAGAATGCGTAATCACAAAATTCTCGCGTTTTTCCTTGACTGATGGGTAATTGTTGCTTGAAGTACTGAAAATTTCAGAAGTTGGTAAGTTTCTCCATAGATGGGGAGTAGAACTATTTTATCCTGCAACTACTGTTAGATGATTGAATGATGTTCTGTAAGCTTTTCGACTGAGTATGAAGGATGTATATACAATTATCCCGACTTTTAACTCCTATCCTGCAAGCTGAGATATGCAGATACTCAAAACTCACACTAACATGGATGCCTACAACTCAAAATTCAGGACCTGTTATTACTGTTGGAAGGAGATTATTACTAGATCATTTCCGTTATTGGCAACAAGATTTTACTTTGATTTTCCATTTTGAGTTGTGTATTTTGTGATCATTCCCTCGCTTGCAGTACCTGGAAAATTTTGGACATCACTTGCATCAGGTACCAAGTATGGTAATGCATGCTTCATGCTGGCCTAAACCTTAAAGATAATGCGCTCAGGGCCTGTGACAGGAAGATCTAGCGATTGGAAATGCACCCCTGGACCGAAGTGATACAATCATCAAAAAAATAAAAAATTCACAATTGATCAAGAGATGGTCCTAGAAGGCAGAGATGGAAATCAAGTTCATCAGCAATACCATAGCGTCTATGTACAAATGATCAAATGCCATACACTTGGTTTTAGTACCAGAACTTACCACGGTGGTATGAGTTGCTTATTGAAAACGGTAAAGTCAAGATCAAGAAAGAAAACAACAGCAGATTTCAAGAGTTTTTATGATGAGGCACAAAAATGAAATGACCTAAGATCAGCAGGCTCAGAAGGGTTGGGGAGGACCGCCAGGGCCGCCAGGTCCACCAAAGCAGTCTTGTAGCAGCCAACAGCAGCAGAGAGAATAGAAGCTGCAGCCCAGAACAATTGAGAATGATTTACTTGAGAAGAATCCAGGGTGAATATGGGAACATCTGACAATCAATCTGAACTGGGAAGGAGGTAAGTACTTACCAGGAAGATATCATGTTGGCTAAACCATTAGCAAAGCCGCCCAAAGGGCCACCAAATACAGGACCCCAAGGACCTCCAGGACCCCACGGACCGAACGGACCTCCGGGACTTACACCCAACCCTGGTCCCCAACCAGGACCAGGACCAGGACCAGGACCCCCAGGTTCAGGGCCCCAGCCGCCAGGGCCTCCCGGTCCTCCAGGTCCCATCGCTAAATTCTCAACTTTCTAATTACCACCACCAGGGCAAAGACAGATTACCAGACAGCGAGATCCCTCTAACTTCAAACGCTTCAAAACAAGACGCCAGGCCGATCCTCCGAAGATTTTTATAGAGTTTTTTATCTGACGAAGCTATATATTTTTTTTTTTGTTAATGAAAAAGACAGAATCATATAATATAGGAGGGTTTTTTCCATTTTTCCTTTTTTGTAAGAACAAAGGCAATGACATCTTGGATAAGGTAAGAGTACAAACAAGCACCTTCTCTGCCCTACGTAGCTAACATCCAATATTTAAAATTGGAAAGCAACACACGGCATCATTGGCATGTGATTCTTGATATATACAAAAAAATATTATAGTTAGTTACGTATATTTTTTAATTAAAAATTTATTTTATATTATAAAACAATGAAGATTAAATAAAGATTAAGATTTTTAAAATTAGGTTTTTTTTTTTCATTTAAGAGTTTTTATTTTGTAATTCAAAATAATTTGTACTATAAAATGACATACCTTTTTTAATTATTGCATTTAAAAATATTAGTTTTATTTATTTTTTTGACTGTTAAGAATATTCATAATTGTAATTTTTAGTTAAGACAAAACCATATAATATGAGAGATTTTTCTTTTCACAAAATACTCAAATCTACTCTCAAAATATAGTAACAGGGACAGATCCACCTTTAAACAAAAAATGGTGACAAATCCATCCATAAAGTTTTTGACTTGGATAAATCACTCCAAATTTAACGTGTGACATCATCTGATATCAATAATTTATTAATTTGACGTCATCTGACGTCAGCAATCCGTTAATAAATTAATGAATTGCTGACGTTAAATAATGTCATACGTTAAATTTAAGGTGATTTGTCCAAGTCAAAAATTTTATAAGTGAATTTGTGCTTATTTTTTGTTTGGGGTGAATCCGTTCCTACTACTATACTTTGAGGATAAATTTGGGTATTCTACTTTTTTCTTTTTTAGTTTTTCAAGAACGTAGGCAATTACTTCAGAGGAAAGGTCAGAGGAGTACAAGAATCTTCCCTGACCTAGGACCCTAGCATCCAATATTTAAAACTGAAAAGCAATAAACGGCATGAATGGCGCACGGTCATTGCTAGCACAAAAATATTATCATTATATATTTTTTAAATTATTATTTCTAATAATATTAATTTTATTTGAATATTTTTTTTTGAATATATTCAAATTATTTACATGTATTAAGTGAGAAAAAAAAAAGAGTTTCATGGAATTTGAACATATTACTCACAAAAAATGAAAAATTATAACTCAAAATTTATGTTATTGAATCAGAACGAACTATTCTTGCATCTTTTGATTATTAAGAATATTTATAATTGTGATTTTTATTTTACGGTAAATTTATATAATACAAAAGTATTTTTTTAAATAAAAATAATTGTTTGATACTAAGTAATTTAGCGGTCCTTATCCTTTCTATAAATATCAAAACAATAATATTTTAAATTTTATACCTAAATCTTCTCCTTCTCAAAATTTGCCTTGCTCAAGAAAATGAAAATAAAAATAAAAAAGAGGCAATTGCTTCGGAGGTAAGGTAAGAGGAGTAAGAGCACATAGGCCCCTCGCATCTAATATTTAAAAATGAAAGGCAACACGCGGCATGAATGGCATATGCTTATTGCTATTGCTACGCACAAAAATATCATAACTACCTAAGTTTTTTAATTATTATTTTTAAAAAATGTTAATTTAATTTAATTTAATTATTGAAAATACTTAACAACTATAATTTTTAATTAAGATAAAACTATATAATATAGGGGTTTTATTTATTTATTTATTTTTTAAGAATAGAGCAATTACTTCAGAGATAAGGTAGCAAGAGCACAAGTGCTTTCTCTGCCGTAGGTCCCTAACATCCAATATTTAAAATTAATAAAACAATACACGAACATGAATGGCATATGGTTATTGCTAGGCACAAAAATATGATAGCTACAAAAAGTTTTTAATTATTGTTTTTAAAAAATATTAGTTTTGTTTGTTTAATTGTTGGAATATTTAATAATTGTAAATTTTAATTCATAAAATAATTAATATTTATTAGTTGATAAACTCAAATTAATCTATACAAATTGATATTTTCAAAAATAATAACCTATTATTTTAAAAAATTAAATTTATATAATTATAACATTTATGTGTTACAATAATCATAACATATAAGAGCATGAAGAACACCAATTTTTGTATTAATTTTTTTATATAAAGATTAAGATATAAGTTAATGATATATTAAATATATTTTTTATCATAAATTTATATTAAAAAAATAAAAATTAATATTTAATTTATCAACTATTTAATTAAATTCATCACTTACTTGACATTGACATTAAAATTAATATTAATTTTTATAATTTTTTTTATATATTTATAATAAAAAATTACTCTTAATCTTTTCCTTTTATATAAATAGCCAACCAAAAGAAGCTAATATCGGCCAACTACCTCATAAAGAAAGTGGCAAAAACCACTTTGTGGAGGTTCAAATCCAACATTGAAATCGGAAAAGAAAAAAAAAAAAAAGAGCTGAGAAAATTTTAGAGTCCGCTTGTGATTTGATGTAATGTGTCATGACTCATGACTGTTGTTGTTGTTTATCGTCAGCGGCGGAGCTGTGAATATATCGGGAAGGCCCCCCTGTTTTTCAGAAATACTTTAAAATTAGTCTAAAAATCTTTAATTTTTATTATATGTACTATATTATCTTAATTTCTATAAAAATAAATTTTCATAGTATTTGTTCTTAATTACATTCCTAATTGAATATTAACATGACAATTACTAAATATTTAATATGATTCATTAAACATATAATTTTTTTTTTTGTAATCTCTAATAATTTTTGCCAAAAAACTTTTAAAATTTTTAACATTTCTCCTCCCTGTACTCCCTCATGCTTTGTTATTTTTGGAAAAATCCTTGATTTTTTTCAACTTTTGTAGAACTTAGAATTAGCCTAGAATATTCAATTGAATTCACAATAATTTGTTAGTTTACAAAGTCAAAGATTAAAATTTTATCATAAAAATATGTCTGATTTGAAAGAAATGAAGAAAAGTAAATGATTTTTTTTAATTAATCAAATTATAATATTTTTAAATATTATAATCTAATCAGTAAAAAAATCCTTCCTCCTCTCCATTGCCCTTAAACCAAATATACTATAATTTTAGAAATTTTTTATCAAGTCAAACATATTTATTTTATTTTGTCATTTATTACACCAATTTTGTTTATATATTTTTGAGGTTATTACATATTATATATTTTTTGTTTTTATTTTACTCTTTTTCTTACTAATACAATTAGACAATCACTAATCATTAAAAACCTCAAAAAAGCAACATATTTTACATTTAATTATAAAATCATTCTTATATTTTCAATTTTAAAATAATAAATAAATATTTTAAGTGTAAATCTAATCAAATATTCACAAATTTGGCCCTTTCATATTAAATTCTGGCTCCACCATTGTTTATGGTGGATAAGAAAATATAGAGACTTGCCCTCGATAAGAAGAAAAGGTGTTTTTGGGTGTTGGGGCGTCTATTTGTTTATGTATTTTGTTCTCGAAAAAACCATATTAATGTTGATAAATTCTCATTTACATCAGTGCAAGTATAGGGTATCCCAAAGGCTTTGGTGCTATATTAGCTTGAGATACATTAACACTTTGAAGCCAGGAAAAATGGCAAAAATTTTGGGATCTGTTTTGAGATTACTTCATGAGCTGCTAGTTTTCAATTCCACCTCCAAGAAAAAAAAAAGTGTAATAATATATATAATTAATTAAATACTCTTAATAAACCATTTTTGTTTCATACTAACAAGTTAATTCTCTCAAAAAAATCCTAACCCATCTTTTCTACTCCTTTGGGTGACAACCTTCCTAAGAACTTCCTAGGTATGCTTTTCACTTCGGGATTTCTGTAATGATTCTACCTTAAGTTTTCTTCTTTTCTTTAGGTTTTCTATAAGTATCTTTATTCTTCTTGGGTTTCTAATGGAAGTGTTGTTGTAATTAAGGTTGTCAAAATTGAGATTTTATTTAAAATAATTTTGAGTAAGTAAAAT